CCAAGATTGGCCCTGCATGTAGGGGATGGGTCCCAGTTGGCAAGTCCTGACCACAGGAGGAAGGGAGGCCCAGGAGGGAGATGTGCCTGGGGGGACCTCAGAGTGGGCGGGGGGCTGGTGCTAGCAGCCTGGCTCCGCCTGGCTGTTCATGGTGGGGATGGTCAGTTGAACACCGGTGCGCTGCTGGCCTGATGCACTCCCCAGCCCCATGCACAGGCTGTCTAGGTGCAGCCAGGGCCAGCCTCTCAGGACCCCCACAAGCAAGCCCAGGACACTCATCCTCTCTTGCCTGGGTGCCTCCTGGAGGCCCGAAAGGCATCCAGGTTTTGCCCTTTGGGTTCCTCTGGGAGTGCCACCCCGTCTGCTCTCATCCCAAGTTCTGCCAAGACTTGTTCATGGGGAGGAAGGGCAGTGCCACTACCTGGCTGAGCAGGTCCTTGGCCTCCCTAGCATTGGACTCAGCCTCGTCCTGGCTTCCGCTCCCGTCTGGGCCTCCTTGGTCACCTGCACTCCACTCCCTGCATGCTGAGATTCTGGAGTCCCACCAGGGATCCCAGGCCTTCTGGTCCCTCACCCTTCTTGCCTGGATGATGGCCAGAGCCTCCAGCCAGCCCGTTCCCTGTGCTGTTAGCTGTAACCTTGTCCAGACTTTGAAGGGATCAGCCTTGGGCTGGCCAATGAGGGGCCAGAAAGCGTGGAGCATCCCCAGGACTGAGGGGCCCAGGCCTGGAGTCCTGCTCCCACTGCCCCAGGGTAACATGGACCCCCCAGCCTCTCTGTTTGGTGTGAGATGCAGGCAGTGCCTGGCTGAGCACGTTCGGCATAGGGTCTGCACAGAAAGAGGCTGGCCCCCAGCCCCATGCTCCACGGGGCTGCTGGCAAGACGGCCGCCGAGCTGTCTCCAGTCCAGGGCTGCTGCACGGTCAGCTGGTCAGCTGAGCCAGGCCAGGCAGGCAGGGGGACAGCTGGCCGCCTGCAGTGCCCTTTCCAGCCCCAGACCTGCCCCATGGACTTCCTTGGGGGAGAGGATGAGGGGCAGATGGAACTGGGCACTCCCCCCCAGACCCAGGGGGCTCTGCTCCTTACAGCTACACCCCAGGGACCACCTCAACACCCAGCCCTGGCTGTCACCCCATTGCACAGAGAGGGAAACCACAGCCGGGCACGCAGGGCCAAGGAGGAGCTGGACTCTGGGTCCAGTGCTCTCCTCTGGCCGCCCTATTGGAGGGGGGACGCCTCTGTAGTGTCCTCCCTTCTTCCCCAACCTGAGCTGGACTGGGGACATCCTAGGAGCCTGGCGCTGAGCCTGCAGGGTCTCTGGGGCCTCTCGGGGCTCTCTGTACCCCACAGAGCCAGCCTGGATAGGACCTGCCCTTTGGCTGAAGACCCCCTGAAAGGCCGTCTCATACATCCTGGGGGGAGGGTGTCTTCCCCTGAGCAGAGGCTGACTCTTGGGAGAGACGCTCTGGCTCCATCCCAGGCACATGTACCCACGTCTGGGCAGGTGAATTTCTGCTAGGACCCAGCCAGGCAGGGACCCCAGAGCTGTACAGCCCGTGGCTCCGGGAGCAGTCTGAGCCAGGGTGCAGCCTGGGGGTGCGGGAGCAGCGGGGGCCCTGAGGACTTGCGGGAAGGGGTCTCGATGGGGCCCAAGCCCCTCCCTGGCCCTGCCTCTCACCTCCCAGGTCCTCCCGGAGGGGCGGCGGTGGGGAGGGGGCCTTCCTCTGCGGCAAATGCTGGTCCAGCCGTGCGGCCCAAGGCGCCTCCCAGGGGAGCGGGAGTGAGGGCGGAACGGCCATCCAGGGAGGGGACGGCTGCATGGGAACGGGCCCCAGGCGGCGGGCAGAGCAGGGGCGAGCGGGTGCAGATTCATCCGGCCTCCCGCCTGGAGAAGAGGAAGCAGCGCGCAGGGCTCGCCCAGCGAGAGCCGCGGACCGAGCCGCTGC